GGCTTGCCTACTCGCACGTAAACACAATGTGCCTACCGGTTCGTTTTTTTATTTTGGTAATCCCTCTTACCGTCAAATACGAGTTGTCTAGCGATAATCGTAAGTTACGCGTGCCCTGCTCTACACGGCGATAGAAATTGCGTCTCACTGATGCAAAGAACCGCTACTTTTACGATCAAATCTGTACAGAAGATTTTGAGAAGACACCTATTCCAGATTTCGGTGCGCACAGTGTGTAAACAACACACCATTACGCTAGCTCGTAACACTAACTTCCGCTATCTCACTATTGGAAATCCTGGCGCACGTATTAATACATATATCGATTCATGGCTTGATTTTACCAAATATACATACTTATATTCGGCGTATAGAAATTCGAATTTATCCTTTATTTTCCGATATGTCGATAAAGAACGCACAGGTTTCTATGTCGGATAGTTCGTCACAATGCAAGACCTATCTCCGGATTTATCGAGGAATACAATCTCTATCTCCCTAAGTATTTTAATCTACGTACGAACTAACTTTAGGAATTGGCTGACGATATAACTTATTACTCCCGAAAGCACAAATAATAAGCTTACATGCAGTCATTAAAAAACCAAATTTAATACATTTGTCTCATAGGCCACTTAAATTATATAGTATTTATAATTACATAGTTTGTGCATAAAATTGCCCACTGTTGCCAAAATAAAACTGACTTAACTAAAAAATCAAATTGTTTGTAAGAAAACTGCTCGGACAAAATCGGTCCCAAAGCCGACACGTCTCGACAAAGCTTCTTTGTCTAATTGAATCATTGATATCATTATGAAATTCTACTGTCACATTATTAGTATTATGCAACGGTGAACTAATATTTTTTTTATACGGCTCTCAGTACGATTTTTTCATAAAAAAAATACTTACCTCGTTCGAATATGACCATAATACCAGCCGTGATGACCACTATACATGGCGTAGTACCTTGTCAAAGTGAACCCGCCGGCCAGATATTTCAACACTAAGCAACCGATGACTAAACAAGCGTGCGAGACCCGGGTGATTTCAGGGGTCAGCGAAAATGGGTTGAGGTCAACGGAGCCGTGAGAGCACATCCCTTTAGAGAATATCTCGCTTTCTTGCCTCATTTGATCTTCGACTTCACGGGTAGGCATTTGTTCCTATGGGAACACAGCGGCACGTTAGAGTATTGGACATGCGTCCATCAACCGATCCACTTGATATATACGATTTTATATACTGTGTACGATGGAATTATGTCCCTGTTTTACTGTATGTAGACTAATAGACGCAAAACTATTATTAGTTGTGGTCTCTTTATAGTTAGAAAACCACAATAATGATTGTATTGATAGTATTGAATACTGACTGTCACTTTAAAAAATGCGTTTTTTTAGAAATGTATTTCATCATGTACGATGACGCCGGTAAACCCTAGTCATTCTAGTCAGAATCGCAAAATATAACATTTTTTTTTTCATCAGCCACTATGGTAAAAGTAGAGCAGCACTGTCATTTATATTTATATAGATGTAAATTGTCCCCCCAAAAACAGCGCAGCTGTACTGTGAGCGGCCTCTCTTTCCGCTTATTATCTTTACATGGCAGATATTATGAAACGCAATTGTATTGCTTAAAATAACGCGGGTATAATAATAGCGGGTGTCAAGAAACACACTCTTCACATCGAATAAAGAAACGATAGGTATTTCCCTTATCATTAGAAAGCTTTAGAAGACCTTGTTAAAATAGTGCGTTAGCCTTCGCTATAGTGCCCAATTTTCAGCTCTCTGCCCTTCCTTCACCTTCATCCTCTTTGTTTTTTTATGTCAAATTCTGTCATTATCAATTTTATTTGTCGCTTGCGAATGGAGGCGTCCATTTAACCTGAACGACTGTTAGCGGTAAGGGTGGGACAGTGAATAAATTAGAAAATTAACCGAAAAAAAAGCCTTTTCAGACAGAAACAAACTAGGACAAACAACAACAGAGCAGAGCTGATACCTACGTCTAAAACATAACTCATTTTTGAGCGAAAACGTATCTATAATATTTTAACTAGGTTTGTAGCATGCGTTAGCTTGCACTGCAACATTTGGTTTAGTATATCCCGCTCTTGCAATAATATATAGGTAATTTCGGCGAACTATTTTGTTCTAACTGGCCATATTAGATAGCTGCCTTGCTTAGCCGTTGTCCAATTGTTTTATGACTAACTGATTGGCGAAATCGGCGGTGTCACCACTTTTTGGATCCTCCAGCATTACTTTGCAGGAGTAAAAGCTGAGCAAAGACGTTCTTCATATCTTCAAGAAGCTCTCGATGAATACTGTGATCCGGCCCAATTTTAGCCGTAAGTCATTTAAATAATTAGTCACGTTTTTAATATACACGCCTCAAAGGCATTCTAGCATAGAGTATGCTTTCATTAATTACATCATGTACGAAATAGTTCATTGAGTCGTTCAACATTTTTTGCCTGTCTGTACTATAGGCCTATTCACATTCAGTGTTGGCTTTCTTCTCGGACAAAATGGAATTTTGTGGTGGTTTATGGTGGCACAAGGTCGGTGAGAGACACCTGAAGATTGGGCATTATCAGATACAGTACATACATCCCTGGCTCTTCCTATCTAGCGAAGAAAACAACTAAATTGTATTTTCAACGAATGCGTTGCCATAGAGATATTATTTTACGTAAATTCACGCATACTGTCGTTAGAGATTCACAATATGATCTCTTCAAAAAGTTTGCTAGTTGTGATTGCCAGGAAAGTTCCCATAAAGAATTACGAAAAAGATGGCTCATTTACTGTGTGACATTGCACTTATTTATTATACCAATAAATTTCGATATTTACCATCTACAGTACGGTTAATTTATGTACACAACGAACTCTCTACGAAGCGTAAAGAAAACGAGTGCCTTTACGCCTTACTTATTTGCCTAACATTGTGTGTTATGGGGAGCAGCTTTAGATTATTGCCAGAGTTTACAAAAAAAAAAAAACTTCAAGAGCTTTGGTAGTTTGGTAGGCCTACCGAAGAAACGCGAGCTCTTGCAGATTTACATAAATCCTGTACCAAAGTGATATATTGAGGGCATTTAGTTAGCCCCTAGTTGAAATATAGTATTTCATAGAAAAGTCTGCTCATAATAATCAATGTTGGCTAAGCAATGTTTAGTTTGGCGAGAGTACCATATGGCAGATTTATAAGGCAGAGAAACACACGTTACATATCGTCGTGTTCGACAGCTAAAACATAATATATGATCTTGAAGAATTTTCGCATGCCTATTATATATATATAATACTTCGTGCATAAAAAAAACAAGCGATTATTACTATAAAAATAAGTTCTTCCTTCTAAGATAAGATATTAAACAATATAACAGCATAAGGGCGTCGAGAAGGTTAATGAACTAGGTTTCTGTGCGTGTAACAAAATGTGCTTAAGAAATATTCATCTTTGCCGTTATCGTTAGAATTGACTTGAATTATAAACCGCTGATTTAGCTAAAATTTATTGGCTTTAAAGAATATAATAAATGATTTACAACTAAATGGTAGGACTTCAAAGCAAAATCATTTTAGAAAATAGTATGCGTTGGCAAGCGGCGGTCTGAAAGCGTTCTTTTTATCTGTTCGTTCCTTTTACCAATTTTTTTTTATATTTCTCTTCCTAAAAGGTGAAAGTGCTTAATATGAGTCTCTCGGTAGACCAATCATGCACACCGTTACAAAATTATAGACCAAATATGTTTTTGGGCATCGCTGCTAACTTCTAAAAGCGGCGGCATTGTCGGCCCATCTAATCGATTTCTAATGAATCAATTGTGTGCAGACTGATCAAAAGGATTTATATAGATTGGAAGAAAAGTTTCCCTTTAGATTGACTGAATGGAGAAATAGGCATATATATATATATATATATATATATAACACACAAGAGTTTTCGCGACGCTTCAGACGCTGTGTTGTTTCTCCAATCGCTCAGGCGCCTCCGCTTGTAAGTCCCCGACATCTTCAGTACGTTCTCACGCACCTGGTTCATATAGCTCTTTTTTCAACCCTGTTGTCATCTTTTCTACTCGCCCAAATGGTCTCAAGACAGGGCATTTGCTGGCGACAGCCTGCAATGGATATAGTTTCAAACCTCTATTCATTATGAGCTTAACTGTAAATTGGCATATTTCGACTAATTTCAGAGGGCATACAGAGTTTTGAGGCGGGGTTGCTATGCCCTAATTACAATATATGTAATGAGACAAGCGCGGCAAGGCTTATAGACGGCTTCTCTCCAGAAGAAATGCCTCTGGATTTGAAAGTATCTTAAATAATTGATAAAACACTTTGCAAGAAAAGAAGTATGCACTCCCTTCACAGAAAAAAAAAGAGGTTGGAACCTATCACAGGTTAGATACAGGGAAAAATGGAAACCTCTCGCAGGCTAAACTGCATCGAAATGATCCTTCAGTACATTTAAAGATCCATACTAACCAATGGTGTCTATAAAGTGTTTGTATAATAGATGAATTGTTCCGAAGTAAAAACCCTCTCACAGTCTCCCCGCCATTATATTCTGCATTATAGGTCTAAGTCGCCCACAGGCTCCAGAAATGTTTATCATTAGCCTTGTATTCAAAAGAGTCGTTCCGTTATCAATTATTCACGAATCGAGTGTAATCAAACCAATCGTCTCGTTATAAGCAGCACACCATGCTAAGGCCTACCGCTCTGGTCCAACACTGTAAGCCGTGCAGACGACAAAGGGGCTCTGACAGGGGCACCGAACGCACCATCAAATGGTTCTGAGCGGCACCAACTCCCCTAGCCTTCGACACGATTTACCCTCCCTCCGTGTCTCTCTTTCAGTAGCTACGTTCACTACCCCTAGAAGGCCGCCTCGAATTCTTGTGTCATTGTCAGTGGTGTATTCGACGAAAGCGGTGTTCCTCAAGGGGGAGCGTGTAGGGGGAATAGCAGAACGGTCACTCTGGGTGCGTCTGATCGGCGGGTTCCATGTGCCTGTGACTCTATAGGCCGGCGCATGACTGCATCAAACGACTATTTCTGGTGTATATAATCAGTGGTTCATGAAGTTGGAGGTTTTGTCTCTGTGTGTCGTTGTGATATTACTAAGAAAGGTTGCCGACTAGAGGCTGCAGGCCTCGTTCTAACGTGTAAACAAAAAGTGTATTTTTGGGTTGTTTTAGGCAGCCCTATGAAGTATCAATGAAGAACCAATCAGCCAATCGCCCTTATGCCACCACCGAACCATCGGTCGAGCACTGCCTCTTCGACGGCACCGTCGATAAAGACCGCCATAGCTGTAAAGAGCGCGGTCAAATCGTTTGCCTCGACGGCTGCTGCAGCTAAAGCAAACGCCAACTTGTCAAACAGTCACAATAGCTACGCTAACGCTACGACGCACGGCTCGAACAACAAAGTTGGCCCGAAGAAGGACGCCGCTAATTTAAAGAAAACCGCGGAGGAAAAGATGTCAATGGAGAAATTACCAGCGCCTACAGTCGCCTACGGCATGCCACGCGACATCGTCGAGGAGATGCCTCGTTTGCCTTCATCTACGACATCAATCATGTCCTTAACTAAGGATGCGCCTGGTTCGAGATTTACTGTTAGTAACATCGGTAGACCTGTGCACCGCTCCGAGTATCTGAAGGTGCGTTTGGTTCATACTCACGGCTATTGGTAATCATCTTACTTATTCGGAACGCCACTTATTGTAGAATCACAGTCAGCATTTTCAACAGTCGCCAGGGGATAATATATAATTAACTATTATTCAAAGCTTTGAAAATTAGCTCAATCGTTCAACCACAAACAAATACATTGATCCTTAATTGCGCGTCGGTAAATAAATTACCGTTTCCGGGATTTACCTTGTACCAAAAGAAGGTTCCTCTGGCAACACAGTGTATCTCTTCAGAGCAACAGTTAATTATGGAGGTGATTTTGCTCGAAAATTTACCGGTCGCGTTTGACAAGCACGGCAATTTCCTTACTGCATTATTACTGAACTATTTGGGGCCTCCACTGAATTATTCTAGGTCTTTTTTGTTTTCTCAAGGTAAAACAAGCCAAAAGTATATTGCTTGTATGATGGCTTTGTTGTGTATAAATGAACGTATGGCGTCTAACTTATGGTTTCATTTTATAAGAAAGATTTCTCTACTCTGATATAAAACCGGGTAGGCTACAAGATCTTAATGTTAGAGACGCGTTATAGTCTAGGTTTGAACCTGGGCATAAACATACTTTTTTGTGCTGAGGGCCAATTGTCTAATAGGATGCGATACTGGACATCAAAACTCGAAACATGAAAAGCGTCAAAAGCGGCACTGTAGAAAATGGAGCTAACTATTATAATCCACATAAAATGTAAGTAAATTGTTAGTCATGAAGATTTTTGAAAAACACGTGTTGCATTTGGGAGACGGATTGCACTTGGAACACCATGAGATTTTCGAAAAGCATTGGCCATAAATGAGAATGAACGTATTTCTTAACGCTCACGAGTCCGTGCGCAACGGTATCACTGGATGCTATTTTTCAGGTTGGATAGACAACCACGGACTGGCTCCCATGCGCTTCCAGGTTCTTGTAATGAAGCCTTAAAAGTCCAATTGGTAAAGCCGTTTCATTGAATAGCGCACACTTATGTCTAGTACGACAATTGCGTGTTAGCAGTGGAATATGAACCATTATATCTGTAGAAGAACAAGGCAAGATTATATATAAAGCTAAAGCGGCGCTTATTTAGTATATATATATATATATATATATATATATATATATATATATATATATATATTGATTTAATAGATGAATAAAGAGGTTCGAGTAAAAATTATTATTTTTTTTTTGTTGATCGAAAAGTTGTGCATTCACATTTTTGCATAAGACTTTCTACAAGCTCCATTAAAAACTAACTACTAGTTATTACCAGAGAGCTAAATTACTTAAGTCTAATAAGATTTACTTCAAATTGGATACGTATGATTATTAAGATACATATTGAAATTAATAAAACGCCTTTATATAAATAAAATATATAAAACGCCAGAGTCCTATTAAGACGTACGGCAAGCCGTTATTCCCTTTTATTCGGTATCGTCCAGACGCCAAGTTGATAAACGAAATGCAGTTGCTGCTAAATGGCAGTTGTTAAATATTATCGTAAATAAAATTTAGTCTTCTGCTAAAATTTCTTGGCATGGCTACCTAGGTATATTACATTAGGTGGTCCAAATAGTGACCCTTGACCTACACTGACCCTTAATACCGGGTCCTAGAGATACAGGACATTTTCACAACTTATTCCATGTATGCATCTGCAGCATAGGACCAACAGAACCTTAAGAACTTCTAAATAGGTGAAGTACCACTCTAAGCTGTAGAAAATGCCACTTCATTATCGTGAATTTCGGAGGCATGCTATAATCACTAATTACTGCTCCGACTATTATATACGGTATCATCAGCGGCAATAACAATTTCTACAATAATGTTTAGATGTTTATTTTATCAAGAAAGAAAAGAAAGACGAGTTCTTCCTTCATGACCATGTCCTCATTTATACAGGGAAAAAAAAAAGATTTTTTGCACAATAACTCATTTTTTAATGTAATATATGTCGTTTTACAGCAGCTTTCGTAGTTTAGATCGTGTATCACCGCCCCATGGTTCGATCAAAATAAACATTCCTTTTGCACCCTCTAAAGGTACACTCTGGATAAAGACGCACTCTGGATAATCAATCATACACGAGGCTGCTATAAGCGCTTACGTTTACTTCATGAAAAGGCCTACGCGTAACGAGCAAAAAAAGTAATCTATCCATAAAATGAGCGTATGCGGAACCGAACATGCAACTAATGTCTGAATTATTATATATTCTATACAAAACTATAAGTTTTCTAAAGGTCAAGGTCGCCTATACAAACAAATTGTACGCCTCTGTACGCGCTTTGGGTACTTGCGCTGATGCTGTATACATTTCGGTTATTTACTTCTTTTTGCCCATTGTATACTTGTTTAAGACAGACGACTTGAGATGGTGCTTGCTGTTCATAATAATAATAATAATAATAGCTATTATCATTATTAAACTTTTCAGTATAATAAGCTTTATAGAAGTGTTTGACTGCGCTTAAACGAATTGGCTGGTATTTAAAAAGTACGCTATTATACCATTATGTTGTGATACTCCTGGTAATAATTGTTTCTTACTTAAAGTACTGACCGACCTGCTTATCATCACTCGCCAGGCGTCATACATAGAGCTGTTTAACATAAAATTCTTCACTAATTGGTCTCATGATCTTCGTTGTATTCAGAGTGAGCAGATATCTATTACTAAGATCAGTGTATCTTCTCTGTATCCTCGTATTGGATTAGCAGAGGTTATGTGATCAACGTAGGACCAGAACAAGTTGCATGAAACTTTAACTCCTATACTACGAACTTGTAGCCAGGTTACGATGATATATAGTTACATCGGCCTTTTTACGCCATCTGCTCAAACGCCAAAGCCACCTCTACCCCTAAAAAGTGTCCTTCGAAATACTGCATTAGCAGTTTGGCATATCTTGCCACGTTAGTTTAATTGATGAGGCAGCTGAAGATGCCAACTATCACAGGCTACTGCTGAATGCCGGGCTGTTCCCAACTTTAAATAGGCACCTTTGCCAAACGAATAGAGGTCAAACAGTAGCACGTTGTAGAGGCACTAAAGTACTGATCTAACGGCAATTAAAAGGTAAGTGTGCAACTTAAAACACTGTCTTTCCTGGAAGGGAATCAAGTCAAGAAAGGCTGATTCTTGTCCTAATCTTACCTCCATCTGTAAACATCAAGAACATGCCGTCTTGCTTGTTAGAAGGCTGAGAATTTACCTATGACCTCAGCCTTGTTCGCAACTTCATCTTTTGCTGTGACGAAGCCTCTCACGAACCTCTTTTTTTCTCACAGAGTTAGCGAGTCGGCCAAATCTGAAACAGGAAGCGATATAACTGACGATTCCATTGTCGCTTCTGCATCTAAACCTCCTTCTGTATAGGTCCGACTTAGTCTCACATACGTGCTGTCTCTGAAGTCATTTTGCTTGGAGATAATTTTGGCTTTCTTTTGTCGGGTAAGTTCGCAATGTGTACGAAACCCTTCATGAGTCTGAGGTTTACATTTTCTCTGAAGAATCAACAAACGATAAAAAGAAAGATGGCGCATAGTACTTCACATTGGAGTTCACACTTTGCAATGTCAGCTTGCTCGTTTCGGGCTTTGGCGGGGAACTGGGAAGTGAGCCCAGTCAAATTGTGGGTGCTCTCCTGGATCATCCTCGAATATCTCTTTTCAGATCAGAGCTGGTTTCATGGCTAAAAGTCACCCGTCGCTAAGAATCAGCTATGGTTAAAACTTGTGAAGTTTGACTTGAGATTTATAAGGCTACCTTTGGGTAAGCAGTTGTCAAAGAAGGACGTAGAAGCGTGTTGCTTTTGCCATAAGTGTTGGGGAATCATCTGCATACTAATAGGTGCTTTTAATGGTTTTACTTATTCTGGATCAAGTCAATTGACGTTTACGATAGTTTCGCCTTATCCCTAGTATATGAACTGCAACCACACTTACCCACCCTTCTAGATTTATATCAATCACCTTGATATTATTCACTGAAGGATGCTTATAATGGGCTAGAATTGAAACATCAACAATGGGCTCAACAGCTACACGCAATCACGCAAACGGCATTATTGGATCACAGGACAACAGGGTGAGCTCTTCTAGGCTCTAGCACTTAGTTTCGGAAAAAAAAAACTGGTGGTTGCTGTCTTATCATTTCGTATAGCATATTTTGACTAATATTATTGAACATCCTTCGGAAGTGCGGACAAAATAAATCTGTGAGTCATCGTCAGGTTCTTCGTAAAGGCTTTTGTTGCATAGACACATGGTTTGGCTCGTTTTAAAGCGCCACTCCAAGCAAAGTAGGTATAAGGAAGACTAAAGGTCTGGGTTCCGTCTTGTCCTTCTACCCCAATGTTTGTAGATAACCAGAGCTAGCAGATCGTCAGGCCATAAACACAGCAGCATTTGCAACTCCCGCTGATAGAACATTATGGTGTGAGTTAAATCTTTGCAAATCACGATGACGTTCCGCAAACGTCGCGTCGACAATGGACGGCACTTCTCGTTTGCGTGGGAAACACTAGCGTAAATGATCAAGAAATTCGTGGATATCGTGAGGTCGCGAACGGCTCGAACCGAACAAACAAATCACAATATCGTGTGTATAAATAATAAAAATAATAGTGTGTAAATAAATAATAGTAAAGAATAGTGTGAATGTAAGGAAGTTCTTTTCAGTGACTCGACCTATTGTTGAGCACCCTGTGATTCATTTCGTTATATTTTACAGTTATATCTATAGGGTAGAGTTATTATAGATTTAGGACTATCGTCAGTAGCGTCTTTTGTTTGCTAATTAGACGTCACAACATTAGAATAGCGATCTGTTCAATCATCTTTTATAAAGTTAATTTTTAACTGAAGAAAAAAAACTCAAGGGTGAGTGTCCAGGAATGAATTCACTCAAAAAAAAGACCACGCTGCACTGCGGCTTGTAAGGCGAAAATGTTATTTGGATTTTATTTTTTTTTTTGA